TTGGTCCAGAACTATCATTGTTTGAGTCTACAGTGCTCCCTGGATGTAGGTGAACTACAACTCCCAAACTCATTTCGTTTTTTTAAATGCCAAGTGCCTTAATGTGTTGTCGAAGGCTTTTGTGACCAGAATCATTGGGTTGCTGTGAGTTTTTCAGGTTGTATGGTCATGCTGCAGTAACATTCTCTCCTGATGTTTCACCTGCATCTGTGGCTGGCATGTTCAGAGGTTCTGTTGGCAGCGAGGCAAGTGGAGTGTATGTATACCTGTGGGATAATGTCCAGGGTGGGAGAAAGAACCCTTGTCTGTTTAAAGAAAGTGTGAATGTTGCATTATTTACTGTCTTGGTTGTGATGCTTTTAATACTGTAAACCACAAAAATAAACAAAATCTGGTTACTAGAATTAAAAACAAAACACCAGAATCAAGACAGTAAATAACAAACATCACTCAGAAGCAGGAGAACTCCAGACAACAAGCGATCAACTTAACATCTCCCAAACAGAGGATGCCTCCAGGCAACAGAGGCCAGGCTACCTCTATGCAAATACCCTCACTGGTTGACTTTACTAATTGCAACTTTCACATTTGCTTTAAACAGACAGGGGTTCTTTCTCCCACCCTGGACATTATCCCACAGGTATTATATATGCTCACTTGCTTCACTGCCAACAGAACCTCTGAAGATGCCCATAGCCACAGATGCAGGCGAAACGTTAGGAGAGAATGCTGTTGGAACATGGCCATACAATCTGAAGAAAACTCAGCAACTCACTGTGGTGCCTGCTGTTTCTCCTGGCTGAAATCTATTTTGTTAGCTGTCCAGCAGCACTCCTGACATGTTACACAACATTGCTATTCTGTGATAGAGTTGTGTAGCGCTGGTGTCGCTGCAGAGATTTACTCTATGCCGAACGGATGTTGGTTTGCAGCCAGGAAGCGTAGCAAAGTTTGCACCTGCGTTGTGTCACTCACAGGATGCCAGACATTTTGCATCCTGTGATTTCGTTTGGAAACCGTCTGCTCCCCTTTGCTCGAGAAGGAAAGAGATTGTGTTCCCAAGTTGTCGTGTCCTTTGTTGCCGTAGCCCTGGGAACAACGTCGTTAGCAAACCAATAAGTAAAACCGAGGATCGATGAGAAAGGGGTGACATTCAGGTCATTTTGTAGTTATATATGTGTGTGTTTTGGGACGTCTGGCAGGATGAGATTGATATCCAAATGAGTCCCCATGTTGGAAATACAATTCTGAGAGAAGCCCCGCGTTTGGATATCTTCTAGTTGGCTTCAGAAGGATGGATTTTGCTCGGATGCTTGTTTTGAGGAATGATTCACATCTGGAAAAAGCAGCGCCACTGCTATTTTTAGAGCAGACAATCCTCCAGTTACCCAAAGGCCACTTTGCGCTGTTTGCACCAAACCAGAAAAGAGGATCTCTGCCGAGCAAAAGCTCTCTTTGCGCATCACCTTCTGAACCAGGAATGGGATGTCACTAAGCTCCAGGAATTCATACAATCCTAGAATCCTAGAGTTGGAAGAGACCTGGTTTGCCATCCAGTCCAACCCCATTCTGCCAAGAAGCAGGAAAATCACATTCAAAGCACCCCTGACAGATGACCATCCAGCCTCTGTTTCAAAGCTTCCACCACACTCAGGGGCAGAGAGTTCCACTGCTGAACGGCTCTCACAGTCAAGAAGTTCTTCCGAATGTTCAGGTGGAATCTCCTTTCTTCTAGTTAGTAAATAGTTATAGTAGCAAATAAATTGTAAATAGTTGTAAATAGTTATAAGTAGCTGGGGAGCTCCCGGTGGCGCAGTGGGTTAAAGCACTGCGCTGCTGAGCTTGTTGATCGAAAGGTTGCAGGTTCGATTCCGGGGAGCGGCGTGAGCTTCCGCTGTCAGCCCTAGCTTCTGCCAACCTAGCAGTTCGAAAACATGCAAATGTGAGTAGATCAATAGGTACTGCTTCGGTGAGAAGGTAATGGCGCTCCATGTAGTCATGCCGGCCACATGACCTTGGAAGTGTCTACGGACAACGCTGGCTCTTCGGCTTAGAAATGGAGATGAGCACCACACCCCAGAGTCAGACATGACTGGACTTAATGTCAGGGGACTACCTTTCCCTTTACCTTTTTAGCAAATAAATCAAGCATAAAACCTCCATGGACTTTGGATGAAAGTATATATGACTGTACAATTAATGTTATTGTTTATGATTTTATATTGTTGTTATTGTGATATTGCGGCATCGAATTGTTGTCAGTGTTAGCCGCTCTGAGTGCCCCCTCGAGGGTTGAGAAGAGCGGGGTAGAAACGTCGTAAATAAATTGTAAATAAATAAATATTTATTTATTTATTTACAGCTTTTATATTCCGCCCTTCTCACCCCGCAGGGGACTCAAGGCGGATTACAGTGTACACATATATGGCAAACATTCAATGCCAATTTTTGACATACAAACATATACAGACATTCACAGAGGCTATTTAACTTTTTCTGGCCGCCAGGGGAGCTGTCGCTTTCATCGTCCATCTGCAATGCTGATGAAGCACTTCTGCATTCCCTGCATGCTTCCCGGCTGGAATGCTTTGCTGGAGTCTTCTTTATGGCCTCATAAATCAGTTATTTTAGCCTCCCCACACTTTAAGGTGGTACCTTATTTTCCTACTTGACAGATGCAACTGTCTTTCGGGTTGCAAAGGTTCGACAACAGGCTACACACAATTGGTTGGAAACCCACTCCAACCCGGGTTGGCTTTGAACTCATGACCTTTTGGTCAGAGTGAAGCCATTGTTCCACTGCGTCCTAGTCTCCAGGGAAGCAGAAAGGAAGCTTGCTCCCTTCTCCTTAGGACTGTCAGGATTATGGAAAGTATGTATGTTTTGTTTTTCAATGTGTTTCAATATGTATAACAATATGTGTTCATATGTATTCAAAATGGGTTCAGTTATGTTCAGCTGTGTGCTAGAATTGTAGTCACTAGAGGCAGAGAGAGTAAAGACCTTGGCAAAAGTTAGATAAGACATTTTCCTTTGCTTGGGAAAGAAAAGGGAGGATTCAGCCAAGACTGATAAGGAGATGAAATTGAAACTGTTTGTGTGCTCTGTGCTTTGTAGTTTTGTCTTCAAGATGTAGCCTGCTTGGATGTATAGAGATGTGCTCAGTAAAGACTTTGTTATTTTGAAACTGGAAAATGCAGTTTGTCATAATTTGCATCTGTGTGATCTGGTAACCTCAAGTCCGCTGTGCAAAGACCCCAGGGGTCTCACCCTGACAAGGACTTCCTCTCACATGGCTATCCATGGCTATCATGCCTCCTCTCAGCCTTCTCTTCTTCAGGCTAAACATGCCCAGCTCTTTCAGCCACTCCTCATAGGGCTTGTTCTCCAGATCCTTGATCCTTTGAGTTGCCCTCTTCCTCTGGACACATTCCAGCTTAGAGTCAACATCTCCCTTCAGTTGTGGTGCCCGGAATTGGACGCAGTGTGATTCCAGGTGTGGCCTGACCAAGGCAGAATAGAGCATGGGGAGCAGGATTTCCCTGGATCTAAACCAAGGGTTCTCAAACTAAGGTCATTTACCCGGCCTCGCTCAGGGTCAACCAATTCAAAATATTATCCAAATTATAATGCTTGCTGTCCAGTTCAAAATATTAACCAAATTATAATGCGACAAGGATCCCCGGGTTGAGATTGCCTTGTTTCGGGGGACTTCCCCTTCTTCAGGATTTCGTCTTCTTTGTAAAAGTGGGTAGTAAATGGGTAATAACAAACAACGTAATAGATATGCCAAAAAAGGCACCCAAACCAAAACATTCAGTGATAATGACATGCATTCCATTCCCACTGGAATGCATGTCTCACTGGAATGCATGTCATTATCACTGAATGTTTTGGTTTGGGTGCCTTTTTTGGAAGACCGACAGGTTGCAGGTTCGAATCTGGGGAGAGGAGGATGAGCTCCCTCTATCAGCTCCAGCTCCTCATGCGGGGACATGAGAGAAGCCTCCCACAAGGATGATAAAAACATCAAAATCATCCAGGCGTCCCCTGGGCAACGTCCTTGCAGACGGCCAATTCTCTCACACCAGAAGCGACTTGCAGTTTCTCAAGTCACTCCTGATATGACAAAAAAATGTTTTATGTAATTATGTTGTTGTTGTTTGTTGTTTGCATTTTCGGTTTTATTTTATGTAATTGTTGTCTGGGCTTGGCCCCATGTAAGCCGCTCCGAGTCCACATTGGGGAGATGGTGGCGGGGTATAAATAAATATCACTGAATGTTTTGGTTTGGGTGTTGCATGTTTTCAAACTGCTAGGTTGGCAGAAGCTGGGGCTTGAGTCCTGCCCCCCCCCCCCGGTGACACAGCAAGTTAAACTGCTGAGCTGCTGGACTTGCTGACTAAAAGCTTGACAGTTCAAATCTGGGGAGCAGGGTGAGCTCCTGCTGTTAGGCCCAGCTTCTGCCAACCTAGCAGTTCGAAAACATGAAAATGTGAGTAGATCAATAGGTACCGCCTTGGGAGTGGGGTGAACTCATGCTGTTAGCCCCAGTTTCTACCAACCTAGCAGTTCGAAAACATGCAAATGTGAGTAGATCAATAGGTACTGCCTTGGGAGTGGGGTGAGCTCCCGCTGTTAGCCCCAGCTTCTGCCAACCTAGCAGTTTGAAAACATGCAAATGTGAGTAGATCAATAGGTACCGCCTTGGGAGCAGGGTGAGCTCCCGCTGTTAGCCCCAGCTTCTGCCAACCTAGTAGTTTGAAAACATGCAAATGTGAGTAGAGCAATAGGTACTGCTTCTGCGGGAAGGTAATGGCTCTGCATGCAGTCATGCTGGCCGCATGACTTTGGAGGTGTCTATAGACAACGCTGGCTCTTTGGCTTAGAAATGGAGATGAGCCCCAGAGTCCCAGACACAACTAGACTTGACCTTGACCTATTATGGAGTCCCAGCCTGTTGCCCTCTTGCTTCCACACAAAACGCCAGGACAAAGGAATGCATAGAGAATTCTTGATCTTTATTCCATCAGTTTGAACAGTACCATGGAAATTACGGGAGAAGGAGTCGTCATAGCAGGTCGAGGTTCGCACGGGAACACTGCATAGTCACGGCACGACATACAGACTGACGGCCACATTCATCACACACAGGTCCATGTACCTTTTTCATGGCTTCCCCTCTCCTGATAATTGGAAGCAAGGACACTCCAAGAGCTCCCACCATTTGGAATTGGGACGGGACCCTACCTGCGGGGCATCAGCTGCCTTTGGCCGGTTGGGCTTGCGTTCCTGTCCTGCCGCCTGGTCTGGAGGCAAAGAGCCGGGAGAGCCTTTGTGCCTCAGTTTCCCCACCGGTCAAATGAGCCTACGCTTTCCTTTGTCAACCTCTAAGGTGCCATTTTTAGTTTAGTTTTTCGAAGTGCAAAGTATTGCCATGGTGTCTCCATATTGCTAAGTGTAAGTTTCAGGGAGATTACAAGAGGGAAAAATGTCCCCTCTCTGATATATGGAATCTGGAAGACATCAGGAGACCTTTGAGTCCTTCAGGACCAAAACTAAAAACTTTGACCAAACTTTTTTGCTCAGAACCAATTTTGTTTGGATCGGAACGAAGGCGAAAACGAACCATTAGAAAAACCTCCATGGGGAGGGGAAGGCAGCAAAGGGAGTGAGACCCCCTTCTTTGAACTACACATCCCATACAATGTATAGTTTTGGAATAGTGAATGGCTCTCTTCCTTGACCACTGAGAGGGGGACGCACGGAACCTGGAAAGGGACAGCCACATCGGAGGCCAAACGTGGACATAAATGCACCATCATGTGACAACAAAACTTTGGGACCTAACCTGAGACCATTGAAACACACACCACACAAGGATGTGGGACAAGTAAGACATCTGTCACAAGGAGAGAACTGTGGCTTTGGGTGCGTCCACACTGTAGATTTAACCCAGTTTGATACCACTTGAACTTCCATGGTTCCACGCTAGGAAATAGTGCGAGCTGTAGTTTGGGGAGGCACCAGCATTCTTAACAAGTCCAAAGGCATTGTCAAACCACAACTGCTGTGATTCATGAACCATGGCAGTCCAAGTGGTATCAAACTGGATTAAATCTACAGTGCAGATGCACCCTCACAGGGAAGGAAATATCCAGCTCACAGACATTCAAGGACAAAACACTCAATGGGAGTTGGCTGGATGGCTTTCCTATCATCCGTTCTTCCTCTCCGACGGACCGTTATCTTTCTACTTCACTCCCACTTGGTACAATGTTGGGGGGTCTTTTGAGGGGGTCACATGACGGCGCACTTCTCGGCGGATTGCTTGAGGTCATCCAGAGTGGCCTGGGCCTTATCCTTCAGGGAATCTATGTCCAGGTTCTGGATGTTGGTCAGCTGCCCGATTACAGAGTCCTTTTCTTCCTCCTCCTCGTTGTCTTGCTCGATCATCTTGGCCAGCTCTTTGGGGAGCTCCACGTCGCCCCCCACCACCTGGATCTGGCTGTCGTCCGTCTCGTTCTAAAGGGAACGGCGTTAATTGGGGGGGGGGGGAGAAGGAGAGAAAGGAATTAGAATCTCAAATGGAATTGCTACTTCATAAATGTCATTTTGCTATTGTTATGAATCGTCATGTAAATATCTGATATGCAGGATGTATTTCCATTCACTGGACTAAATTTAGCACAAATACCCGATACGCCCAAATTTGAATACTGGTGGGATTGGGGGGGGGGGGTTGATTATGTCATTTGGGAGTTGCAGTTGCTGGGATTTATAGTTCACCTACAATCAAAGAGCATTCTGAACTCCGCCAACGATGGAATTGAACTCCCAGGGCCAATATGTTCAAACGTGAACACTGATTTTGTCATTTGGGAATTATGATTTTGTCATTTGGGAACTGTAGTTGCTGGCATTTATAATTAACCAACAATCAAAGAGCATTCTGAACTCCACCAACAATGGAATTAAACCAAACTTGGCAACTCCCATGATCAGCAGAGAATAGAGGAAGGGTGGTGGGCATTGACCTTGAGTTAGTTCACCTACCTCCAGAGAGTACTGTGGACTCAAACAATGATTAATCTGGACCGGACATGATACAAATATTCAATATGCCCAAACGTGAACACTGGCGGAGTTTGGGGAAAATAGACCTTGACATTTGGGAGTTGTGATTGCTGAGATTTATAGTTCACCTACAATCAAAGTGTATTCTGAACCAAGGCCACAATGAAACTGCACCAAATTTGGCACATGACCTACATGGCCTGCATTGAATATTGGTGTGTGTGTGGGGGGGGGGGGGGGGTAACAGTTTACCAGCTGTTAGGATTTCTGGGAGTTATAGGCCAAAAATATCTGGGGACCCCAGGTTGAGAACCACTGTTCTATAGGCATTTTCTCTTGACGTTTCTGGCAAGCATCTTCAGAGGTAGTGAGGTCTGTTGGAACTCGGAAAATGGGTTTATATATCTGTGGAATGATGTCCAGGGTGGGACAAAGAACTCTTGTCTGCTGGAGCTAGGTGTGAATGTTTCAACTGACCACCTTGATTAGCATTGGATGTCCTGGCAGTGCCTGGGGCAATCTTTTGTTGAGAGGTGATTAGATGTCCCTGATTGTTTCCTCTAGAGTTTTTTTTAATACTGGGAGCCAATACAGGTAACCTGGAGGGCCGAAGTTTGCTCATGCCTGATCCTCCCAATGCTAATAAAACGGAGCATTTTGTTGGGTTTCACATGTTGCCAGAGATTATAAGAACAGCAAGATCCCAAAAATGATCAAGAAGTGCTATGATCAGTCCAGGAACCCTTTCCTCCATCTGGGAAGTCGTTTTTTTGCAAAGGATCTGCCCCTTCCCTTGAGCTGCTTTTCAGCACGGCCAAACCCTCCAGGTCGGAAGATGAATATTTTTGGTATCTTTCTTCTTCTTGGAGGGCTTCTTATCCTCCTTTCTGAGTTTTCTTATTTTTTGGACTTGCCATTACAACTTATTGGAATGGTTCAAGCTGTCACTTTGGCCCCTCTTGCCTTGTCACTCCAGTGAAGAAATCACAATGACATGGGGAGAAAAATACCAAATTTGAGAGGGAAACAAGGATGCCGGATGAGTTTGCTTTCCCTTTTTGTTGACAGATGGAGACCTCCGGTGCTCTCCCAGGCCTCCCAGTTCGAGGGCATGTTATGTTTTCAAAGGACAACACAAAAATAAGACTTCTTGCGACTTGCCTGTGGGACGTTTTGTAGCCCTTGCTGTTCTTAAAATCTTTGAAAACCCCAAATCCAGGAGGGAATTGGCCCACATTGCTAAACTACTAGTCTTAAAGCACTGTAGGTAGAGGTAAAGGTTTCCCCTCAGAGTCAATCAAGTCATGTCTGACGCTGGTGTGTGTGTGTGTGTGCTCATCCCTATTTCTAAGTCAAAGAGTCAGTGTTGTCCATAGACACCTCCAAGGTCATGGGGCCGGAGTGACCGTCTGTTACCTTCCCGCCAAAGTGGTACCTGTCGATCTACTCATGTTTGCATGTTTTTGAACTACTAGGTTGGCAGAAGCTGGGGCTAACAGTCGGGAGCTCACCGACTCTGGGACTGAGCCAAAGAGACGTCATTGTCCGTAGACATCTCCAAGGTCACGTYGCCATGGGCATGACTGCATGGAGCACCCTTACCTATTGATCTACTCACAGTTGCATGTTTTCAAACTGCTAGGTTGGTAGGAGCTGGGGCTAACAGCGGGAGCTCACTGACTCTGGGACTGAGCCAAAGAGCCGTCATTGTCCGTAGACATCTCCAAGGTCGCGTGGCCATGGGTATGACTACATGGAGCACCCTTACCTATTGATCTACTCARAGTTGCATGTTTTCAAACTGCTAGGTTGGCAGGAGCTGGGGCTAACAGCGGGAGCTCACTGACTCTGGGACTGAGCCAAAGAGCCGGCGTTGTCCATAGACATCTCCAAGGTCACGTGCCTTGGTTTTTCATTCTGTTCCTGGGATTATTTGAGATGCTGATTCACAACATTGAATTGGATAGACTGCATCAGCTCTTGTTGTTGTTACACAATTCAACAACTACAAACAACATTTTCCTTGAAGCCTTAGTTTTCCATCTTATCCCTGGGATTATTTGTGCTGCTGATTCACAACATTGCATTGGATAGATTGCATCAGTTCTAGTTCCAGCTTCTGTTTAAAAGCTTCCAAAGAAGAAGCCTCCACCACACTCCGAGGCAGAGAGTTCCACAGCTGAACGGCTCTCACAGTCAGGAAGTTCTTTCTAATGTTCAGATGGAAATAATATGTTCCGTATAATATGGTTTAATATGTTCCATATCTTGAAAACTACAGCGGATGGGGAGAAACTGCTGCCATTTTTGGAATTAGCAGGTCAAATATATCCGGCAACAGGGCTATTGTTTGTGGCACCAAAATGTGCATTGGCCTGTGTTACTTATTATTATATGTATTTGCACCCCAAATACAAATGCTAAGGACGAAACCTGTGACTTTTTGGATGCCAAGCAGATATTCTGCCACTTGAACCACTCCCACCTTGGACCTTATTGAGCGATATCATTCCCATTTGGATAGCAACGTGGGGGGAAAAAGGCCCCCGCCTGCTTGCATTAGCCATTTGCGAGCGTGGGTTGCTGCTGACGCTTGATCAACACCGCTCCCTCTTTGTGCGGCTACTTATAGGCTCAGGGTGGCCATCTGGATTGCCATTCCTCACACTCTGCACCCAACAGCATTCTTGCCTCCTCCATCTTTTACCGGTAGGGAGCTGTTACTCAGTTGTAGTACTGATTCACGGCTAGAGATCCGTACGGAAATGCCACTGGATCCTGGCCATCTTAGGACCAAGTTTGCAGCAATGGGGCCTACCTTGGGCAACCGGTATTTGTCTCGGAAATGGGTCCGCAGGGTCGCTCGCTCTGCCTTGCGTTGGGCAAACTGGGCGTCCCGCTCCATTCTGTAGAGGACACAAGGAGAAAGTCGTTTTTAGTAGGCGGCCTTTGCAAGGGTTCGAGTCAATAACAGTCGGAGGAAGCAAGATTTCCTAAGGAAAGGTCATTCATCTCCTCTCCAAGAGTGCACCTTCCTACACTAAGGAATGTCTTGGAGGTCATCCAAACTAACCCTTGCTTAGGATGCATCTACACTGTAGAACAAATGCAGTTTGATATCAGTTTGAACCACCATGGCTCAATGCTATGGAATCCTAGGAGTTGTAGTTTTGCAAAGTTCTCTGCCCAAGAGTGCCTCTCCAAAACATCCATCCTATAGTAGATGCCCTCAAAGGCTAACTCACCAGTAGAAAATCTATGGATGAAGTATGCATCTACACCAGGCGTAGGCAAACTTGGGCCCTTTGGGTGTTTTGGACTTAAGTGGCTGAGGGGGAAAAGGAAGGGGCCTGAGGCTGTTAGGAATGGTGGGAGTTGGAGTCCAAAACACCTGGAGGGAGGGCCCAAGTTTTGTCATGTCTGTTCTAGTGCCAACAATAGGGTGAATGAGCTATAGCAATTACAGTTGCTGTTGGCTGAAGTATCTAGCTTCACCTTCAAAACAAACACACAGGGAGGAAAGGAAAGAGCTTGAGGCTGTTAGGAATGGTGGGAGTTGAAGTCCAAAACACCTGGAGGGCCCAAATTTGCCAGGCTTGTTATAAACAGCATGAGTACAAGACTTTCCCAAAGATCTTTGACATAGATGTGGACATGGAACAAGACCCAAGATCAGGGGTCTTCAAACTAAGGCCTGGGGCCCAGATACGGCCGTCCAAGGTAATTTACCCAGCCCTCGCTCAGGGTCAACCTAAGTCTGAAAAGACTTGAAAGCACACTAACAACAACAATCCTGTCTCATCAGTTAAAAGCAGGCCCACACTTCCCATTGAAATACTAATAAATTTATATTTGTTAAAATTGTTCTTCATTTTAATTATTGTATTGTTTTAAAGTGGCGTTTTTTGCACTAAAAATAAGATATGTGCAGCATGCATAGGAATTCATTCATGTTATTTTCAAATTATAGTCTGGCCCCCCAACAGTTTGAGGGACTGTAACCTGCCCAAGATCCACACAATAACGCAGTGTTGCCTGATCTGACTCTTAAGAAAACAATAAGAACCATAAGGCCACCAAGTCCAAAACACCTGAACGGCCGAAGTTTGCACATGCCCACCCTATAGTATCAAAGCTTAAGGGGCCTGAGGCTCTTAGGACTTGTGGGAGTTGAAGTCCAAAATACTTGGAGGGAGGGCCCAAGTTTGCTTAAGTCTGTTCTAGTGCCAACAGTAGGGTGAATGGGCTTCAGCAATTACAGTTGCTACTGGCTGAAGTACCTAGCCTCGCCTTCAAAACAAACACACAGGGGGGAAAGGAAAGGGCTTGAGGCTGTTAGGAATGGTGGGAGTTGAAGTCCAAAACACCCAGAGGGAGGACCCAAATTTGCCCAGGCCTGTTATAAACAGCATGAGTACAAGACTTTCCCAAAGATCTTAGACATAGACGTGAACATGGAACAAGACCCAAGATCCACACGATAACGCAGTGTTGCCTGATCTGACTCTTAAGAAAACAATAAGGACCATAAAGCCACAAAGTCCAAAACACCTGGAAAGCCAAAGTTTGCATATGCTCACCCTATAGTATCAAAGCTTAAGTGGCTGAGGGGGAAAAGGAAGGGGCCTGAGGCTCTTAGGACTTATGGGAGTTGGAGTCCAAAACACCCAGAGGGCCCATGTTTACCCACACCTTATCAACAGTGTAGAATGAATACAGCATGGCACCACTTTAAATGCCTTGCCTCAATGCAGTGGTGTCACGGCACCTGTAGTCCTCTCTGCTAAATATTCACCAAATCCTTATAAAACTACAACTCCCAGACTTTCTTCTCATCCAGATTGGTGAAGTGAGAATCAAATAAAACAAAAGCCAAGACGGATTGATTGGAATATGTCAAGACAAAGGAAACAAAGATAGTATCTTTCACTCTCTGGACTAAATCCAATTCGCCTAAGGGCCGAGAAGGGCAGTATACAAATATAGCAAATAAAATAAATAAACAAATAACTATATTCTCTGCTGGAGTGAATACACTCCAATACATTCTGAAGAGTCCAGTCTCATTGCAATGAAATTAGAATATGTCCTATAAGATAAAAAAGAGGGCGATTGTTCCTCTGCTAAAGATGCAGAACCATCTCAATTTTGAATGTTTTTGTTTTGGTGCATGCTTGTGAACTCACTTGGCATCGTCTGATATTTTACCAACAATGGACCTTGGGAAAAGAGGAGAGCACAGACCGTCACCATGGACCTCACGTCTCCAATCCCACAGCCAAGACAGACATTGCATTTCCCTCGATGATGCCATAATCCAGACTAGGAGCATCAAACTCATTGTCATTGAGGGCCACATCAGCTGCTGAATCTGTGGACAGGCAACGCATGGATATCTAGGACTTACTGTAACTGTTTTATATTTTGGTTCATAATAATAATAATAATAATAATAATAATAATAATAATTTGTTGTCAAAGGCTTTCATGGCCGGAATCACTGGGTTGCTGTGCGTTTTCCAGGCTGTGTGACCATGTTCCAGAAGCATTCTCTCCTGACGTTTCACCTGCATCTGTGGAAAGCATCCTCAGAGGTTGTGAGGTCTGTTGGAAACTAGGAAAATTGGGTTTATATATCTGTGGAAAGTCCAGGGTGGGAGAAAGAACTCTTGTCTGGGTTGCTGTGAGTTTTCCAGGCTGTAAGGCCATGTTGCAGAAGCATTCTTTCCTGAAGTTTCACCCACATCTATGGCCGGCATCTTCAGAGGCTGTGAGGTTTATTGGAAACTAGGCAAGTGGGGTTTATACATATATCTGTGGAATAATGTCCAGGGTGGGAGAAAGAACTCTTGTCTGTTGGAGGCAGGTGTGAATGTTGTCAAAAAACAGGCGAATTCCAGTCAGGAAATAATCAGGCCCAGGTCACACCTCCCAATAAAGGATTCCCCCAGGCAGGAAGAAGCCAGGCTTTGAAGCTGCAAGGCCATTCAATGCTAATCAAGGTGGCCCATGGCAACATTCTCACTTGCCTCCAACAGGCAAGAGTTCTTTCTCCCACCTTGGACCTTCCACAGCCAGGCTTTGAAGCTGCAAGGCCATTTAAACCTAATCAAGGTGGCCCATAGCAACATTTTCACTTGCCCTCAGCAGACAAGAGTTCTTTCTCCCACCACCTTAGACATTCCACTTGCCTAGTTTCCAACAGACCTCGCAACCTCTGTGGATGCCTGCCATAGATGTGGGTGAAAAGTCAGGAGAGAATGCTTCTGGAACATGGCCCCATAGCCTGGAAAACTCAAAACAACCCAGACAAGAGTTCTTTCTCTCACCCTGCACATTATTCCACAGGTATATAAACATCCCTTGCTTAGTTTCCAATATGCCTCACAACCTCAGAGGATGCCTGCCATAGATGTGGGCAAAATGTCAGGAGAGAATGCTTTGGGAACAAGGCCATAGGTAAAGGTTTTCCCCTGACATGAAGTCCAGTCGTGCCTGACTTTGGGGTGTGGTGCTCATCTCCATTTCTAAGCCAAAGAGCCGGCATTGTCCATAGACACCTCCAAGATCATGTGGCTGGCATGACTGCATAGAGTGCTGTTACCTTCCCGCAGGAGTGGTACCTATTGATCTACTCACATTTGCATGTTTTCGAACTGCTAGGTTGGCAGAAGCTGGGGTTGACAGCGGTAGCTCATGCCGCCCTCCAGATTTGAACCTGCGACCTTTTGGTCAACAAGCTCAGCATCTCAGCACTTTAACCCACGGCACCACCAGGGGCTCCAAACAGGGCCATACAGCCCAGAAAACTCACAGCAACCCAGACAAGATTTTTTTTCCCAACCTGGGCATTCCACGGATATAATAATACTAGCTGTCCCCTGCCACGCTTTGCTGTGGCCCAGTCTGTTGATCTGGAAATAAAGTAATGAGAAAGTGTTGGTTTCTAATATATGTAATTTCTTGATGCTTGTGGGTAAACAGTATTTCTTGCTGTTTCGTTGTCAATGTTGATGTTGAGAGTGTCTGGTTTGCCCACCATGGAACATGCAAAGTATCATTGTCCTTCTTTAAGGGTCCCTTTCAAATTTATGATACTATACCTATGTGTGAATCATATCTATCTATCTATCTATCTATCTATCTATCTATCTATCTATCTATCTATCTATCTATATCTGTGGTTGGATGGCTCTTTGTCAGGAGGACTTTGATTACGTTTTCTTGCCCTTCTGAAGGGAGTTGGATTGGATGGCCTTAAGTATTTTCTGTTGGTTATGGGGGTTCTGTGTGGGAAGTCTGCCCCAATTCTGTCATTGGTGGGGTTCAGAATGCTCTTTGATTGTAGGCGAACTGTGAATCCCAGTGACTACAAATCCCAAATGTCAAGGTTTATTTTCCCCAAACTCCATCTGTGTTCATATTTGAGGATATTGAGTGCATGTGCCAAGTTTGGTCCAGATCCATCATTGTTTGAGTCTGCAGTGCTCTCTGGATGTAGGTGAACTACAACTCCCAAACTCAAGGTCAATGCCCACCAAACCCTTCCAGTATTTTCTGTTCATCATGGGAGTTCTGTGTGTCAAGTTTGGTTCAATTCCATTGTTGATAGAGTTCAGAATGCTCTTTGATTGTAGGTGAACTATAAATCCCAGCAACTACAACTCCCAAATGACAAAATCATAATTTTTTGAGTGATGGTCACTCCTTGTGTTGCGAGACTTTTGTTGCCAAATTTGGTGTGATTTCGTTCATTGGTTCCTTTGTTTTTAAGGTACTCATTATGCACAGAGCATTTATATATACATATAGATTTATTTATTTCATCAGTCATATGACCATTCCATGGATATATAAACCCCACTTGCTTAGTTTCCAACAGGCCTCACAATCTCTGTGGATTCCT